CAGCTCCAGCAGACGACAGGTGCAACTTCGACAACAGTGGCAGAATCAACAATGTAGTCACAAGTTTGATGCACTTTAGACAACCACATGAATCAAAGGAAATGGATTCACTTTAAGTAACCCTAGAAAGAATCATAGCTAAGACACTAAAGAAGAAATGTGAAAGGGGGGCTCTCAAGAACCTAATACCAACTTGAAATTATTAATCTGAAGAGAAGAATATTTTTATTTAATTGATTGATTTGAAACAATACATCGATTTCTATGTAGAGAGAATTCTAACTCTTAAATAATAATTACAAAGAGATCTCTAAAATCTTTTAACACTTCTAATAATACACTTAATATCCTACAAACAACAACATTCATAATAAATGACTTTTTCTGAACACACTTTCAACATCTGTGAACATTTTGCAAATATCTATTGACATCGAATTTCTAAATATGGTAACTAAGTCCACTTTATGTCTTCTTCAGACAATGAATCATGCTCTATGCATGCATTGAGAACGAGTGTAAACTCGGTTAATTGTCTGGACCTTGATTCGTATCATTTGGGCATTCAAAGCAAAGACTTCCTTGATCTAACTTGGCGAGAAGAAACATGTCAGGATGATGAGGGAATTCACGAGACTCCAATTTATAAGAGAAGAGTGTCAAATGAAGCATATAATGCTGGTCAAATGGAAAATCTTATGGAGATTGAGACTTCTTCGTTGGTTGCAGATGCATGCATTAATGACATGAAAGATGAAGAACTTAGTCCACGTTTAACGAATTTCATTAAAAGTGGTGTAGTTCCTGAGTCTCCCATTGATGAAAGAGGTGGGTAACTTCAAGGTGGTAAAAGGACGGTTTACAATAGTTTAGTGTAATTAACTATTTTGTTCTAAAATAAATTGAATTTTTCAGGGAAATCAGGATACCATTCTGCTATACGTGACTGTATTTTACCTGTCAGTGTTCACAAAGAACAGAATGTTAGTTCTTTAAGCTCAGGGGAAACTAAAATGGTCGACAATGAGAAGGGCACTGATAAGAATGTCAGTACTTCCTCTTTCAATGAAACTCAAAGCCCTTTACTTGACCTGAAGAATTGTACAATTAGAAGAGGACGAGTCTTTCTTTCCCAAACTGAGGAAGGCCATGTACATAACTCTGACCTAAGCCTTGGTGAAGAAGCACTTCCAGCAGATTGTGGTGAAATGTCTGAAAGCATTAAACCTTCACGCAAATTTAAAAGGTTGCGAAAAGCTGAAGATACTGAAAGCAATAGGAATCAGAAAAATATTAAATTTTTTTATTCAACAGTGCACTTTCTGAAGTCATCCCGTGCCTCCAATCCCGCACAATATGAGCATGGACGAGGTGATTTTAGTTTGTTTAGTGCATTCTTTACTCCTTTATTTATTGAAAGTATTTTAGATCATATCTTGTTTTTTTGAAACGAAATTGGAAATATATTTAACAAAATTCTTTTCTAGAAGGATGTATTTTAGAAAACTGAGCGCCGTGCTGTTTCATTTCTACTTTTTAGGTAAAAGGAAATCAGCATACAATGTGAGAGACTTCATTGAGGAGGAAGCGGAGTAAGCTTTTGCTGAAGATTAACTTAATTCTGTATTCTCATCCTGTTTTAGCGTTTTTTACACAATATTCAGTATCATAGTTAGCATATCTTTTATTGCTGCTTCAGAAAATATAATGACTTATAAGTTGTATATGACGATATTTTGTGAAAATATCCGGTCTCACGAGCAGTTCAATATGGTCAGGGTATCTTCAGATGCCTATGTATCTAATGATGAAGATGGTGAGGATGACAATTCATTTGACAGTTTCATAGATGACAGGACCAACCCTACAGCAGCCAGTCAGCCTCAAGCTAGTAGAATGGACATGATGACAATTTACAGGTATTTTATCTTCCTTCCATTGCGCTTTGTTATTCGTAGGTTTCTTCTGAATTCATGATTAAAGGAATTGGGTAGCAAATGTCATCCTTCGAAAAAAAGCTCGTATCATACAAGGCTTCTTTCCTCTCATTACATATTTATCTAAACGTGAGAATATCAGCTTTGTTAGAATCTTTCCCAATTATTTGAATTTACAAATATCACATTTTTTTATAGGCAATATTAGTTGTTAATATTTGTTAATGGGAGAATTGAATCCATAATCTCTCTTACTCCCCCTTCTAAACCAACCTTATATCTTCAAATTATTAGTGAAAAGAGTTGAACCCACAACTTCTGTCACCCTCCTCCCAAGAAGTCATCCTTATATCCGCCTACAAATATCACATTGAATTAATTCTGAACTATGCAGTGCTGTTATTATCTTAATGTTAAAGCTATATAACTGAAATTAGCTCTGATGCAGGCGTTCTTTGCTCAGTCAAGCACCGAGTAATGGACCGCTTGATTTTTCTGCCACCTTCACTCCCGACTGTGTGACTGTGGCAGCCAGTACTAGTGAATGTGGGGATTCTTCAGGGAAGTCATTCAATCATTTACATACAGAGCCAACCAAAGAGTCAGCAAATCGGACTTCAGAATCCGTCACCATCGACCAGTTAACCTCAGAAGCAGTGTTTTCAAGTTGTTGTCCTAAGGGAAATGGGACAGAGATAAAAAGTCACAAACGAAGATTGTCGTTTTACCACTCTGAACACTTCCCGACTATGAACCTTGAACAAGAATTTGCTCTTCAATCAAAGAAAGAAGTGGGGGATGTGGATGCAATTACAAATGTTTTGTGTGATGATCAGTTTTATAATGATCTCGATCTTGACGAGTTGGAGGCTAAAGCAACTTTGCTTCTAAAACGGAAATTAGATTTGTCCATTCAGAAGCAAGATAAAGTCTCTCAATCTCACTTACCCAACCTTGATATTTTTGGGTCTCCTTCATTTGATCTTGGGATATGAAAAGCATGACATAACTCATGCAGCATGATATTTGCATTTGGAAATTAATTAATCAACGTGGTGTAAGCCAAATACAAGTCTTTTAGACTACATATTTATACAGTGGTATTTTATTGTATAGTTAAACATTGTTTGGAAGAGACTACGGTTATAGCTTCGTCTAACAAACACTTGGTTCGAAGGGTATTTCAATGCCTCTTGTATATTCGTCTAACCCCGATTGTTATTAACCAGCTCATCATGACAGTCTTGATCGGTGTCAGTAATTGTCCAGGGCAGTTTTTGGTATCGGTGTTTTTGTATCAACCCGTTTTATATTAAAAAAAAAACCAATTACATTGACAAAAATAAAAGTTGCACTTTATATTCGCTTTAATAAACTGAATAATTTAATGTGAACTTATAAGGATGTAAATGTACATAATTTATTGATTTATGAATTATTTCAATTAGGCATGGAAATATGGGATGATTTTAGACTCTCAAAATTCAAGTGATTAATTGTAACATCCCAAAATATACAGTCATCAACTATATAATAGAATATTCACATATATTAATATATCAAATCAGTCTTACAGTAAAGAAATAACGTACGCTCTTGGCCGAACGGCCTTACATAACTATATACAATTTTTAGGAGCGTTCGATAAGAAACACTAACGAACGGTTTACAAAGATGAAGAAAATACCGAACGTCCCAACACTTAGCATAAAGAAAAAGGGCGCTCGTTCTAAAACAGCTTGCTAACCTAACTAAACTAACATATAACCGAACGTCCTACTGTTCAGCCTTTACTTCTACCTCGACGAGATTTTCTTCCGTTAAGATTCCTTCTTCAAGCGTCTCTTCCAGCAATGCATCTCCCTCTGCTCACATCCACATGGATGATCATTGCAATGACAGGACGGACGTACAGATACAGGACAACACAATGAAAAACGAAGGGTAAGCTTATTGAATTTAATTCAAGTAAAACATACATTTCATAACATATCAACCAGATCAAATAATTCACAACATATACTTCAATCCATTCATCAACTCAATCAATTCCTAAAACTAGACTGACTGTCCGGACTGTATGAATTCTGTGTAGCTACGACGTTTGTGCACCCAGGTGGTGTAGTAACTGGCATTTATCATCAGCTGCCACCCGAGGTTAGTCTGTTCCGTCCTAAGTACAGTCTAGGACTAGGACCTCCTGCCGTTCCCACACATGACATACTCCCATCTACATGAGGACGAGCACTCACGGAACATCAGGATGAACTGCCAGCTAAGCTTACCACATTCATACTTTACAATTCTCATAATCATTCAAGAGTCGTTCCTCCCTGGAACGCTCGTTCAAATTCCACCACCATCATTTCACCTCATATATTGTTCATTAATTATAATTTTCCACATTAATCTCAATTCCATCTTTCGTTCCACTTTCATAAAATGACGAACGTTCAGCCCTCTTCCAAAATTAGGACGAACGTTAACACGAGACAGAGGAATCCTCGTTTCTGAACAGAAAGAAACGAACACTTTTCAGATGACGAACGGTATGACCACTTGACTCAGTTAAATGAACTGATTATAGAACAATACGAATGATACTCAGAAAAATTGGAGTACCATAGCTCTAGGTTGAATCCAAATGGATAAAGTCACCACAAGGTGTTCAGATAATTATACCGAGTACGATTTAATTAAAGAGAATAACCGCCAGTCAATGACCGAACGCGGTAATATGTATTTATTGAAGTTTTGGACGAACGTTACTGTACTTTTTGACGAACGCTATTTCTATCCGTTTGGTAATTAAGGGAAAGAACGAGCGTTCGGTATAAGACCAAGCGCCACTTAAGATGTACGCTTTGGGTCGAGACCCTTCGCTGATTTGAGTTCATAATAAAGAAAAGTAGTAAGGGTACTATACGATAGTGAAATTAGAATTCAGAATGACTAAGAGTCCAAAGGTATATTTATAAGCTTCTCACTTCTCACAAAATACTCAGGATATCTACGTTCGGCCGATCGCTCAAACGTAGCTCTAATACAAGAGGGCGTTCGTCCTCAACTGGAATCCTTTCCGAATGAAAGAATTCTCTTTTAAATAAAAAATTTACTAATAATACCGAACGGTAAAAGACCATTCAATGACGAACGTTCATTATTATAAGAATTTCATAATCAAAGTTTCATTTTCATTAAACACATTTCCCGGCATATACTTTCAAATATTCATCTCATCATACATTTCATATTTCGGTATAATCATACCATAGTACATTTCATTATTTTCATACATCAACTCATGATCATATTCATATACCAAAAATCAAATATCACAAATTCATACTTCATACAACATAGAACGTGCATACAGTACAGTGCAAACATAGGAATTCAATTTAATAAGCTTCCTTACCTGAATCAGTGGTGAACGTCTTAAGAGAATTATTTTGACTCGTCCAACTACAGCTTTCTACCCTCAATGATTTTCTTAAGTTTTCCAACTAAGTCTATCCAAAAGAAAATATGAAAATATTTAGATAATACCCCTGCATGCAACCAAATCTGGGCTTTGCATGTATCCCACGAACAGACGTTTTTGAAAAGAGAACTTAGCAGCTTCAGATTCTGAAACTGTTCGGTCCAACTACTGCTTACGGTACCGGAAATACTTCTATGGTGTCTGGACAGAGAAAGGAGAAGGGAAAGGATGAGTTTCAGTAGAAAGAAGGAAGGGGGTTCTAGAGAGAAGGAGGAAATGAAATCTGAGTTTTTGGGAGAGGAGAAGGTGCGCGCAGGAGAGTGGGAGGGTTTTTCAAAAAAATCAGTTTTGTTCAATCCCACTTTCAAACGGACGAACGTCCCCCCTATCGACACCTGCACCCCCACTACTGACTTCAGAAGCTTCTATTTTGACAAGTGACGTGCATGCATGGAACGTGGAGTGGGTTTTTAATGCCTCTAAACAAGTGACGTGGGTGCATTTATGAGAGTAGACAGCTGACGTGGATGTATTTTAAACAGGTTCTGACATTAATCACATGTGCGTCCAGAGAATGGGCTATGGATTAATTGTTCAAAACTGATTACTCTAGAATTACCAATCGAATTAAAAAATATTAAAACGACACCCTTTTTTCTTTTTCATGGAAAAGACGACCCTTCAGCACCCTTTCGTAAATGGCTTTTACCGACACAATGCACCAACTTTATCAACGAGTTTTTAGGGCTTTCTGCAGTCACAACTTACATTTACCCATTTGTCAGCACCGTGATTTCTGCACCTTTTTTTCTTTCGTATCGCTGATGATTCATCAGATAATGAATTGCTATTGTGCTAGCTAATTACAATGGAAACATTTTAAATAAAATAAATTTTAATCGTTCCCAGCAACCCCGTTAAGAAATTAATGCGTCATAATTTTAAACATGGCACAAGAAAACTTTTGGGGCAATTGAAGGGGGGCATTGCAAAAGATATAAAATGATCCTACCTGAATTCAATACGAATGTTCTAATTTACAAGGGACGTGCTGTGTCTATCACTTTCTTCAGTTATCTTTAATCTATCATTATCGATGTTTATTTACTCAGGTATCAGTTTCCAATCTATTCAAGTAAATTTCTCTTCATTCCCAATGCTGAGTTTTGTCTACAATCTAGAAGGTCTATTCGATGTCCTTTATAGCATCCTGCATTACAACGTTAAAAAAATTAGTTATTAGTGAGTCAGATCAAAGCATTAACTAATGGTAACGGAGAAAAAAATGTAACAGTTTGTACAAGTAATTGCAACAGCACTATTATTTTATCGGTATTAATCCTAAGGCAGTGAGGAGTGTCTTCTAGATAGAACGGTGGAAGGTGGTGTCACCACAGGTTGGCTCCCACGACTAGGCTCGTTAGGGACGCCTCACTTTTTTATCAGACATCAATTTTGTAATCAACTCACTCCGGATTAATGGATTGACTCACTTAAAAATATTTTATCTTTCAAGTTTATTTTATATATTTGTTGCATTTTATATATTTATTGCAGTATAATCAAAATAAAATGAATCAACTCAATTTTTTTATGATAAGTACAATCAAAATGTTTACTTAAATTAAAGTATCAACAAATAAATTAAGCATCCTGTCAGAACCATTAAAAACGCATCCAGATCCCTCTGAACGGACGCCAGGTGTCAAGCTGAGAGGAGTCAGAAATCAGATAGTGGAATGCAGGTGTCAGCAGACGCTCGTTTTAAGCAAAACTGAGTTTTTGAAGTCTATGTCTCACTCTCTCTGCATGCACCTTCTTCTCCAAAAATCTGATTTTTCATTTCTCCTCCTTCTCTCTAAAATGCTCTCTCTTCTCTCTACCGAAACTCACCATTTCTCTACTCTGATCTCCTTTTAGGCATCTTGGAAGCACTTCCGGCATCCCAAGCTTCATTTTGAACCAAACAATTTCAAGTTTTGAACAGGTAAGTTTCTCTGTCTTTAGCCGTTCGTTTTCTGGTACATGCAAACCAAGTTCTGGTTGCATGAGGTCATCTAGTCTGAGTTATTTTTGATTTTCTGTTGTTTGGTTTAGTTTGAAGAATTGTGGAACATAAGGGTAGAAAATATTTGTAGTCATGCGAGCCTAAATTCGGCCTTTAAGACGTTCGTTCACGCTCAGAGGTAAGGAAAGCTTATTTAATTTAATTTGCATGTTTACTGTTCTGTATGAACGTTAGTTGGTTTGTTAAATTAAATGAAGCATGAATTGTTGAGATATTTGTCTATATGAAATATGATGGTTGCTATGCTCTTATGTATGAAGTATATGAAATTTACTATGATATGAAGGTATGAAATTTTGAAATTTTATGTTGAGAAATGAGTTTGAATATAAATGATTCTGGTATGAAATTTACACTATAAAATGGTACGTTCGGCACTGAATGGTCCTTGACCGTTCAGTGTTTCTAGTAAACTTGGTTGAAATTGGATTCTTTCATTTGGAAATAATCCTAGTTGAGGACGAGCGTATTAGTGTGGTAATACTATGCTTGAGCGTTCGGCCAAGCGTAGTTACATCTGAGTATTCTGTGATAAACTTGAAATTTTGTAAATATATGTATTTGTATAGTTTAGTTATTCTTAAACACTATTCCAATAGTATTTTATTATAATCATTAAGTTTCCTATTATAAATTTAGTAGTGCTCGGTCTCACACCAAGCACTCGTAATGAGTAGTGCTCGATTTTATACCAAGTGCTCGTACTCATTTATGGTTTGATCAATCTTGATGAAATAGCGTTCGTCCAACTTTAGTAAAATTTCCCTTTACCGTGTTCGGTCATTGACTAGCATTAGGTTCCTGTATAAGAATTATTCTAAGTATGGTTCTTTAAACGTCTTGACGTGTCTACATTCATTAGTTTCAACCTAGAGCCTTAGTACTTGATGTATTCTTTGAAGTGTGGATTTGAGCTCACGAGAATCAGTTCATTTAACTGATTCATGTTGTAAGTAACTTTCGTTCTTGGGATATGTATAATGGTACTCGGTTTCTTTCTCAACCTGACAGTAACTCTCTTGGTTTTATTCTATTCCGGAACGGGAGACTTCCCTATCTCGTTCCAAGTATTCATCCTCGTTCTGAGTGAGGATTGAACGTTCAGTATTTGACATCCTTAAAAATCGGTGAACAAAAATGAAATTCAAATGATGAATAATGAAAGATGAAGAGAATATGAGATGGAAGAAATGTTATGAATTTTGAACAAGCGTTCCAGGAGGAACGACTCATGGATGATTATTGAATTTGTAAAGTATGAATGTGGTTATGCTAAGCTGGCGGTTCATCCTGATGTTCCGTCAGTACTCGTCCTCACGTAGAGGAGGGTAGGTCATGTGTGGGAACGGCAGGAGGTCCTAGTCCTTAGGAGTACTCTGGACAGATAGGACTAACCTCGGGGTGGCAGCTGATGAGAACATTCCAGTTACTACATCACCTGAGTGCACGAACGTCGTAGCTACACAGATTTCATACAATCCGGACAGTCAATCTAGTATTAGGTTTTAAATGGAACGTATGACTAAGTTATCTTGTGTGTGATGGTATGAATTGTATGATTGTAACTGAATTAAATTACATAAGCTTACCCTGTGTTTTTCCTGTGTTGTTTGGTTTTGTACGTCCGTCCTTGTCATTGTAATGATTATCCGTGTGAATGTGAGCAGAAAGAGTCGAGCTCCTAGAAGAAGAAAATTTGGTAGAAGTAGAAGTGAAGGCCGAACAATAGGACGTTCGATTAGTAGTTTAGTATAGTAAGGTGGTCGTTCGATCACCTGCCCTTTTAACTTTTATTTGACCGTTCAGTATAAGTTTTGTAAACCGTCCTTAAACTGTTTAGTAAATTTTGTAACTCTTTTATGTAAGGTCGTTCAGCCATGAGCGTTCGCTTTAATCTAGTGTAAGACTGATCTGAATTATTATTGAATGTGATTATTCTACTATATAGTTTTAAATTGTATTTTTAGGATGTTACACATCCAAACTATTCAAACATTATTTAACAAATTCTACTATTTAAAAAATTCAAATTGTCAACCTACATAATTAAAAAATAATAAATAATTATAATAAAAAACTTATAAAAAATGATAAAAAAACTAATAAAGGATTATTGTTGACGGGATTGACGGGACTATAGGTCAAACCACCTGATAAGTGTGAAAAAGAGTTATTTTTATACTTATAAATGAGCTCAATCTTGTAATTATTCACGTTGTCCCTCATTGAAAAGTTATAATAGGTAGTAGATTGTTATGTAAAATATTGTACAGGAAATGGTGTATTATTTAGACTTTGTCAGCCAATTTTTGCAAAGCGAAAGCCAAAATCCGCACTACCAGAAGAAGGAAATTCGCATAGCGCACTAGTACCTGTGCGCTGAGCGAATAACATCAGTTAAAGTGCAGCAGTTAAGAAAATTCGCATAGCGCACCAGTACATGTGCGCTTAGCGAATAACATCAGTTAAAGTGCAGCAGTTAAGAAAATTCGCATAGCGCACCAGTACATGTGCGCTGAGCGAATTAATAAATTTAAGTGGCTTTAAAAGACGTGACAGAGCGACAGATTCATTCTCTTCTTATAGAAGTTCCGGACAAAAGAAAGAAACGAAACAAGTCCCTTGGGAGAACGATACTTTGAACTTACTCTATATTACTCAGAACGATTTGGTATACTTGCCAAAAAGTTATCAAGTTTTTTTAATCCTACTCAAGCCTGGTTAACCCACAGGTTACACGAGTCGGATTCTATTTGCTCTACATTTAAAAAAAATTCGATTTTTTTTAACTAACTTGTTTTGAACCCATGATAAACCAAGTTGACTACCCATTTTGACATTTCTAATTTCTCGAACCGGAGCATAAAAGCCAAAGGCCAGCCGAATGAGGTGAGTTGGCCTTACCCAGGTTTGAATGTACGTTAAGACAATAAAGGCACATTGCTACCTAGAATTCGCATAATGGTAAATATTAAAAAGACAAACATCTTCAAAAAGTGAAAACATGTAATGATATATAACGGTTAAAACAAGAAATAATGGAATTCAATTGGGTACAATTTATATCTCATACTACAGATTCAAATGCACGGTGAACACTAGCCAACTCAGCCCCAAATCAAGTCACATTCAAACCACATGGTGGCTTATAACCCAACCTTACGATCTTAAATAATTGATTAACCATAACACCAGTGTGGAAAGACTGGGGGATTTGTGTTTTATGAAAGTTAGTTAGACAGCTATTTTTTGTATAAACAGGATCTTGTATGAATTGTTGTAACCAACCGAAAGTTTAGAGTTCACTATAAGAGAAACCTTGAGTTGTAAACTATGTTCTTATTGAATTTCTAACATACTATGTAGATTGAAGTTAGTTATCATGCTTCATTTACTCCTTCAGTTTAAGCGCTTAACTGTTCTTGCAGGTTCTTCGTTATAGTATTTCATTCATTTGTGTGGTAGACTGTCTAGTGGCCTTGTGAGCTATTTCCTTACAATTCTTAAATTCTTTTCATCTTCACCACACAAAATCTAAACTCTTTATCCCAATTCCCAAGAGTAGACATTGCTGTTGAGACACTAAATGGAAACTCTTTCACTTTTGTTTGTTATCAAATATTAAATTTTACAAAAATCAAAGGATAATACCTTTGCAAGTCGTGTGACATATGTAGCAGCCAATGCAGTGGCCAACAGTCCCAGCCCAAGAGTTAGCAGCTGACTGTTTCCTCCAAATATATTACTAAGTTCAGATTCATCTTGCTGAAATGTAGAAGCAACAATTACATTAAAGAAGTATTGAGCGAAGTTACTCTCTTTCCATGATCCATTATACATAAATAAAAGTAAAATAAAACCATTAAATTGATGAATTGAAAAAGCGAAGGGCAAAAAATCACTTCAATATAGCTTATCATATAGGATTTGTACATATTCTGCGGGGAACCGGCTAATATACACTGTATTTTAAAACAGTAACAAAGGAGATGATTTAACCAACACCTTAATTTTAACCATTCTGTTAGAATATAAAGATTCCTTTTGCTTTTGGAGTCTTACAATATATTAGTCTGATTGGGCTGGGCCCATGCCCATTACTCCACCAAGATTTACTTAGATTATCAGTGTATGTGTATCCATCTTGCTCAATTCCTTTATATCTCTTTCTACTTATTTATGTTTTGCATGATGGACCCAAAATATTCACCATACTAATTGTATTATGGTATAGTCTCCAATTTTCACCTCTAAGCGAGGTTTGATGTACCTAGTGATTAACTTACATTCTATATGCTCTCCGTCTTTTTCACTTAACAAAAACAATCCAATAATGATTAAATAACCAAGAGTACAAAGAATAGGGAGAAAAACCAAGTAGAAACTCACAATTATTGCTCTTCCAAAGGCACCGGCACTAACATAAGCCCAAGTTCCTGGAAGCATCCCCAACCAACTGCGTAACAATCATCAGTTTTAAGACATGGATAATCTTACTGAGACAGTGCCAAATAGGTACAAAATATACCCAGTTTAATTTTAACTACGTTTCATTACAATTTACCTATACTTCAACTAATCAATGAAAATCTATAATAACCACTCTGATGAATTCAAAACAAGGGTTTCATGAAGCTGGTTCTCAGTATTTTCAATGAAAATTTATAAGTTCAATGTTCTCAGTACTTTCACCAGTTCATAAAAACAAGACACTAAAAAACATAGAAGAGCAACTGCAGTCATCATGAAGCTATAGATATTGCATGCCGAAATTTAGAGACTTTCAAGAGGTTTACATTATTGTTGCAAGTAACACAGCAGTTCAAAGACTAGTCCATAAGTAAAACTATCAAAATAGAACTATGTAATTAATGTAGTCGGCCTCACTTAGTCTTATGAAACTATGTTGTGGTAATCGTACAATTACCCTTTTATAATTATTTTGAATTTTATGTTTAGCCAAAGGGAAACAAAAAAAATAGGTTTACTGAAACTACCTAATTTTTAGGATAGCATTTATATGGTGGTAAAGATTGAACACAAAATCCAAATAATGGCACTGTGAATTTGAAGATGTAAGCACAATCAAGCATAAAATCATTTTGTCCTATTGTCTTATTTTTTACCCATTTAGCATGGATCAGACTAGAACTCAAGACAACATAAAATTGCATTAGGATAAATAATTTAATTAAGCACTATTTAACAAAAACATGTTCCATCAGTGTGTATAGCTTAATTTAATCAACTTTGTCACGAAACTAATCAAATTAGCTGACAGAGTTTACAAGGTCATAATTCACACACATAAGCTTAACCAGACACCTAATTTACAAGTAAGTTTTGTATATATTAGAACCTAAATCCAAATACTAAGAACAATAGACGAGCTCAAATATGCTCTTCTAGAGGATGAAGTTTTTCTAACATACCAATTATTTTAAGACACTAGAAATCCGTATAACATTGGTAATTGATTAGTAATAAGCACCATACCTTCCCAGTACATATGGAATAAACTTAACAGATGTCAATCCATATAAATAATTCCCCAAAGAAAATGGTAGCAGAGGACTCAAACGAAGCAGTGTCACAACCCTGAAGCCATTTTCTCCAATAGCTTTGTCAATAGCAAGAAACTTCTTATTTCCTTCCACTAGTTTTAGAATTCGCTCACGAGCAAAATATCTTGCAATTAGAAAAGCAACACTAGCTGCCACCTGAAATGCCTTAAAATATTAGATTGAAAATACACATTCCATTAGAATTAATTAACAGCATAAAAAATTGTATACTTCTTTACCCAATAATAATTTCAAATAAAATATGATGTTATTCAGTCCAATAATACACTTCTAAGTTATAAGTAATTGTTTGCTCTTGCATGCCAAATTATAGATGTTTAATTGTTGGAGATTCCAAATCTGCTAGAGTCAAATTATACACTTTATAAGTTGAGGTTCAGTTACATTTATAATCCAGTTTCTTAAATGTTCCCAGAAAGGCTATCATAAATATTTATTTTCATGCTTGAGATGTCCCATTTTCGGCTCAGGGTGTTAGATAGTTAGAGATCACATTAACAAGAGCTATGACCAAATTATAGTATATCATAGTATATAAGCAGCTGATCACCTCTTACAATCTAGTTTTCTGATAAGTAAATAGTGTTGAAAATTAACAAGTAGATGACCAAATAGTAGACTGTAAATTACATGTGCAAGAATACTAACTAGTTTGTTAACATAAAAAAACCTCAATAAAACGAAAAAAATTGTTCATGATGCAGTCAACTGATTGAAACTATATATGAACTTTGTGTGCAAGTAGGTTTGCTTTGTGTCCTTCACATGATTTACTCACCGTTCCACTGATAGAGACTATGATAGTGCCAACAACGGATCCAAATAGAAGTCCAGCTGACATGGTCAAAGGAATTGCAGGAATAGCAAGGATCTGGGACAACATAAACAAAGCGAAGTTAGAGGAAGCGTTGCACATGTACAGAGAAGACACGTAACTTGAAAGCAAACAGTGAATGGGCATTATTGTGGTTTACTGAGTAGAGTAGCATGTAGCTTAGAGTGGAGAATGTGGATGTCAAGGTTGAGATATACAGAGGGTTGAGTAGAGTAAGAAGTTGAATGAAAATGGAATGTAATATGATACATTGATACCTCCAATCCAGCATAAACGGCAACGAATAATGCATACCCAGCAGGGCCATATCCTGGTGGTTAAAAGACAGAGAGGTGTTGGGGGCGAGAAATAGGAATAAATAAATGAGACGAGAGAAAGAGAGTGGGAAAGATACCTTCAATAAAAAGGGAGAGTTGGTTTAAGAAGGAGTTGATCTGGTCCCTGTAGATATAGCCAACGGAGGCAAAACCGCCGATGACACCGAGGAGTAAGAAACCGGCCAAAAGGGTGCCCTTGAAGGCTGTGGCGTCCTGGAAGTCAGAGCGGGAGTCGGTGTTGTCGGCGGCGTCGCCGTCTCCTTGGGAATCGTTGGGGCTAAACAAGCGCTTTAAGGCAGAGTCGGAGGGGGCAGTGCTAATCTTGGCCCCCAATTGCTTTTTGGGGTCTCTCTGTGTCTGTCTGAGGGAGGAGCATGGGGTGAGGAAGTGAGAGCGTCTGTGGGGTGTGAAGATGAAAGAAGAACGGGGAGAGAGGCGACAGTGGTAACGGTGGGAGAGAGTGAGAGCGAGAGTGTGAGTGTGAGTGTAAAGAGAAGAGGAGAGGCAGGGAAGGGAGAGAGTGCGCATGGTACGAGATATGGAGTACGAGGTAGGAGATAGGATAGGATAGGATGTTATGAACCAACGACAAACAGTTGGTGTGTTCCAACCAGAATGTTCAAATGCTCCACCCACCACTGCACTCCACCGCTCTCAGCTCGCGCATGAATGGAAATTCCGAAAATGGATGAATCATGATTCAAGAAACTCCTCTTCCTCTCGCGTCACGTCACGTCGTGGGGCAATCACTTTCTTTTTTATGTTTTATTTTTGTGGTTGCATTTACAACCACACCTCATCTTCGCCACGTCAAAGCTACCCTATTATCTCCGACCAACTTACCCATGTTATGCATAAATATTAAAACATAAATTATGTTATTCTTATAATTTATTAAGCATAGATAACTTTGAAAGTGCGTTCTTTCAAAATTTTAAGTTAAACTGTCACATGATAATAATAATAATAATAATAAGAATAATAATAATATTATTATTAAATAGTAACACAGAATATATAAAATTTTCTTGGGATTTTCGTCTGTTTGTCTTTATTGCTTAAAAGGAAAAAAGAAAACTTGTGTTCATCCATTGTCAAAGGAAAATGATACTTGAACAATCATTTTTGACAATATTTAGACACGCGCACACGTGTCAAAATCTGAGTGGTCTATTTTCATTTAATTTTTCCAACTGGACCACTCAGATTTTAACACGTATGTGCGTGTCTAAATGTTGTCAAAAATGGTTGTTCAAGTGTCATTTTCCATTGTGAAATAATCTCGAAGCTATGAATTAAAATTAGAAATCAGTGAATGTGACGTAAACATGTGACGTGCACGTGAACCATTTGGTGTCATTAAAAACTTCATTATTTCTAACTCTTTATATCAGTGTTCAATAATCATAAAAAAAAATGTTGCCATGGACAATGTTATCTCATGCATATATCACTCAAAATATTTCGTTATAACATTCAAATGAAATTTAGTAATAGTGTATTTGATTCAGTTTTGACTTTAATAATATTATTATTTTTACCGTTAAGATGAAAACATTATTTTAATTATAAATTATCATTGTTTAAACTCTTAATTTGATGGGATAGTAAAGTGATTTAAAAAATACGCTTAAACCTGATTAAAAGACTTATTATGATAAGCCAAATAATGCACATCACTTAAAAAGTAAATTTAATGACAATAAATCGGACTTGTTCTTGGCTTCTTTACTGTTCTGCACCCCTCTTGCACCATTGTATGTTCCTGAGTATCACAAGTACACAGTATAGAAAACCACAAGCATTACATAATATTCATCTATAGAATAATATATTAAACTACAATATTCATATAATACACATTCGACAATGCCCAAAATTATTTATCAGCATGCACTATTCATATATATATATATATATATATATATATATATATGTGTGTGTGTGTCCTTTGGATAACTTCAATATGTAACCTATTAAATATTTTATTTTCATCACATGTTTAACATTTTTGTATTTAATTATGTTATCAATAAAAAGTGTAATCATTACTATTATCTTTTCACTTTTTTTACTTTATTAATCAATTTTTTTAATTCTCATTTCAATTTATTGATAATTTTTATTTTATCTTTTTTGAAAAACAACATTATCAATAAAAATAATGATAAATTGAAAAAACAGAAAGTTGATCAGTGAGATAAAAATAAAATCACGAAAATAATGATTATAACTGTCACGTCACAATAAAACACTACTGAGTCACCTAGTTACTATCATAAATGCACCACGTCACACATGTAGTGCCATTAAAACACACTCATGCACTTTGTTGCACGGTTGACAAGTGTCAATTCGGAAGGTTCGAAAATCAGTCAGTGGAAAACAGGTGTCGACTGGAGAGGGGACGTTCGTCCTCGACTGTGGAGCAAAAATGGGTTTTCAGAAAAAAAAACACTTCACTCTCCTCTGCATGCACACCTTCTTTCCAAAAGCTTGATCTTTCATCTCCCTCCGTCTTCTCTCTAGAAAGCTCTCCCTTCTTCCTTCCGTAACTTACCATTTTCTACTCCGATCAACGATCAGGCACCGTGGAAGCAGTCCCGGCGTCATAAGCTTCAAATTGAACCGAACCGTTCTGGATTCTGAAACGGGTAAGTTCCTTGTCCTTTGCTGGTCGTTCTTATCAACATGCAAGCCTAGCTTTGGTTGCATGCAGTCACCTATTCTGAACCAATCTTGGTTTTTTGTAAATTGTTTAGTTGAAGAGTTTGATTGAGCGTTGAGGGTAGAAGAGATTGTAATTCTGAATAACTGAGTTTGAGTCTGAAGAGCGTACGTTCACTTATAGAGGTAAGGGAAGCTTATTCAATTTAATTCGTATGTTTTGTTTGTATTGTATGAACGTGTTGATGTTGCATGAAGTATGATTATGTTATTGGATATGGATATATGATTATGAGTATGAACTGAAGCATGTGAATATGTGAAGTACTATGATATGATTAATTTGAAGTATGAAATGTATATACTGAGAAATGATTAAATATCAATGAAACTTGAATATGAAATTCCCTATGATATAGTACGTTCGTCATCGAACGGTCTTTGACCGTTCGGTATTGTTATTAAACTTTCTTTAAAAAGGAATTCTTTCATTCGGAAAGAATACTCGTTGAGGACGAACTCCCTCTTGTATGAGTTCTACGCTTGAGCGTTCGGCCAAACGTAGATATCCGTAGTGTTGTGTGAGAAATTGAGAAGCTTGAAAATATACATTCCGACACTTAGTCTTTCTTGAAAATCTAATTTCATCCTCTTGTAGTATATAAATTTTTGTTTCTATCATTAATTCCAATCAGCGATGGGTCTCGATCCAAAGCGTACGTTATGAGTAGCGCTCGGTCTTATACCGAACACTCGTCCTAGTCTTGAATCATCAAACATATGTAAATAGCGTTCGTCCAAATATTTTATTAAATGCGTATTACCGCGTTCGGTCATTTACTGGCAGTCGATTTTCCCTAAGTGAATTGATCTCGGTAAAGTTCTTATTCCTTCTCGTGGTGTTTATATCCCTTTTGGATTCGGCCTAGAGCCCTCATACTTAATTTATTCTAAGTATTATTCGGATTGTACTAGAGTCAGTTCATTTAACTGATTCAAATGGTAATGACGTTCGTCAAATAACATGTGTTGGCTTTATTCTGCTCGTGAACGAGTCTTTCTTGGTCTCGTGTTTGAACGTTCGTCCTCGATTATGAAGAGGGTTGAACGCTCGTCCTTTTATGGAAATAGAACGAAAGATGAAAATGACATTAAGATGAAATATTATAAGGTGCGAATGGTATAAGAGATGAAATTATGGTTATGAACTTTGAACGAGCGTTCCAGGGAGGAACGACTCTTGAATGAAAATTGAGATTTGTAAAGTATGAATATGTGGTAAGCTTAGCTGGCGGTTCATCCTGATATTCCGTGAGTGCTCGTTCTCAAGTAGAGAGGAGTATGTCATGTGTGAGAATGGCAGGAGGTCCTAGTCCATAACTGTAACTTGGACGGAACAGATTAACCTCAGGTGGTAGCTGATGAGAATTCCAGCTATTCCACCTGAGTGCACGAACGTCGTAGCTACACATAATTCATACGGTCCGGACAGTCAGTCTAGTATCAGGAATTGAATTGAGTTAATGAATGGATTGAAGTATATGTTGTGAATTATTTGATCTGGTTGACATGTTATGAAATATATGTTTTACTTGAATTAAATTCAATAAGCTTACCCTGCATGTTTCCTTGTGTTGTCTGGTTTTGTACGTTCGTCCTTGTCCTTGCAATGATCATCCGTGTGGATGGGAGCAGATGGAGAAGCGTTACTTGAGGAAGCTTTGAAAGAAGAAATTTTGGAGGAAGCCAACCTCGTAGATGTGGAAGTGAAGGCCGAACAATGATGCGTTCGGTTGGCTGCTTAGTTTAAATATTAGCCTGATGCATTAGGACGACCCCCCTTACTTTTATCTTTTTGAACCGTTCGGTATTTTATATTCTGTAAGTCGTTCGGTTATTCGTTTTGATTAGAGTGAACGTCCTTATTTTGTATAAGTATATTTAAGGCCGTTTGACCATTATCGTACTTTACTTCTTTAGCTGTAAAACTGAATTGATATATTAATACATGTGATTTTTCTATGATATATGATTTATTACTGTGTTTTATGGGATGTTATAATAACTCTTGATAAGAAAAATTAAATAAAAGAACAATACAATTAAACAAAAATAAACAAGATCTTAAATCCTCGTATTGAAAGTTTGTTTCTTCTATTTCTATTTCACCTTTCGCAATTCTAATTAATTATAGAGGAAGAGTGACTTCCATACGCAATTTTCACATGTACAACACGTTAGTTCTTAAAAACAATAAATACGAGCACCACCTAAATAAGTAAACAACAAATCGTTCACCCAATCTGTTTTCTCTATGAAAGACGTTATAATTACTTTTTGACAACCACATATTCTTCACTACAAAAACAAGACGTGTGACAATTTTTCTTGCAAAATCCATGTTATTTAATAATGCTGGAAAGTTTCCTAAATGATAATAACGTTAAAATATATTGATCAAGACATTTAATTTAATTTAAAAATTTATATTGCTTATTTTCATTCTCTAAAATAACCATTTATCTATTATAATAACTGTTACAGTTATTATAATTTTCAAGTATCCAAGATTCTAAAACACACCAGGGATAAAAAGGGCGGCAAAGAGCTGCACACACGCCTTGGCAGCGGGTTTAGGGTTTAGGAGGCGCGGAGGAAGAGGGCGGTTGTCTGGAGACATGGCTTTCTGGGGTAAGCCTCTCTTGGCTGGTTGTTTCTGCAATATTCTTAGGTTTAAACGTAACTACAATTTGTTCGTTCCTTCGTTCACTGAACTGCAGGAGTGGAAGTGAAACCAGGAAAGCCTTTCACTCATAAATACGAGGATTCCAAAGGACGCCTCCATATTTCAATGGTAGTGGTAGTGTGGTGTTTCTGTGAATTAATCGCGCAGAAACCAACAGATTTTATTGATTGCTAAAATGTGCTATTTTTAATGTTTACTCAGGCCACTCTTGGGTTGGGCACTGCGACAGCAAAAAGCACACTGCAGTGCAATGTGGGAAACAGGAGCCCTGTATATCTATGCTCTCTCTATCCTGGAAACGCAGAGTCATTGCAATTAAACTTAGAGCTCGAAGAAGTTGATCAAGTTCTTTTCTCTGTAA